CCTTTAAGTAACATTTATTTCAATTTACAATTTTATAAAAACAATAATGTCTTATTTCATGTTTTAATAAGTTTCCCTGACTGCTAAAGCACATCAACATACACACACTCACACCCCAGTCCCCAGTACCTCCAAGACAAGATTTTATTTTCATTCTCCCCAGTTCCTCAAAACAAAACATTTAAACCAGAATCCGCTTACTCATGCTTGATAAGCCGTCCTCCCTGAATGAGCTGTGCCACTTCGTTTGTCACATGGCAGGCAAATAGAAGCCAGTTTCGAGGCTGCACCTTGTAGGCAAATCTCATGAATGTCAAAGAGTAGCAACAGAGAGCTGCCGAAAAAATCAAAGCAAAGAAAATCAATACCCTACAGTTTAGGAAACTTAGCTGATGGGAGCACAGAGATCAATAGTCCATGCCTTAATCAAAAAAGAACCTCCTCTGCTAAAACCACTGACAGATGGTAAGTTTTGGCTTAAGTGCTTCTATGAATGGGAAGCTTATAAAGTAGTTTACTGTACTGTTAGGAATTTTTGTCATTATTACTTAAACATTTTAGGAACATATTTGCTAGCAAGAGTAGACAGAAGTTAGTTCTAGCCACTTTTTTATGTCCCCTAGAGTTGTTCATAATCAACTGTCTTAAAGAATTGCTGTTTATTACCTCAACAATAGTTTTATTTTCAGATATTAGGGTTTCAAATATTTGAGGATGTCTAGTAAGCTGATAAAGGTGACATATTCTTCCGCTGGATATACTAAATCTGAAAGGCAGACTGCTGTTAATACTTCCTAGATAAATATTTCAAATTAACCCTTTTTCTTCCTCATCACAGACAGGTAACACTCTTCAGTATTGTCATAGTCTTTATGTGACTTTTTAATAGTAACTGTACATCTGGTGCTACAAACCTGAAGTATACGCAAGAGCTATGTTGTGTTTAAAGTCCTTCCAATTACCCATATCTGCATCCTTACCAAATGTCATCCGCCCACTGATAATCTCTGGAGACTTTTTCATGTCATTGATGGCAGCAATGGGAAGACCCCAGTTGGCTACTGGGCCCCAGAAATGCTATTAAAAAAAAAAAATGAGAGGGAAGAAAGAAGGAAGGGAGAAAGTCAAGGTGGAGCTGTGAACAACTGCAGTTTCTCTTACTTCAGACAATAATGTGAAACGTGTGGAAACAAGTCTTCTCGCTCACAACTTGCAGGTTTACTGGGTTAATTTATGGATGGACAACACTGAGGTACCTGACTGTTCAGTGTTTTCATATTAGTCAGCAGTTCTTACGAGGTGGGCCATTAGAAAGGATTTGGCATTTTACCAACGTTCCTACCAATTTCCAGATTACGACTAAGTTATCTCTGATTGTTCCATTTAGGTAATTTAAAAATGAGACTAACTTCTTACACAATTCACTCTTGCTATAATTTAAACCTTGTTAGAACTATTCTCCATAATATAATATTTAAATCTATCAAAATTCCTTTTTTCAAATTTTCATTAAGGTATTTATTAATAATTCTTAAAATGCAGAACCTAAGCTGGATACTTTTTCTGAAGAAAGGAACTTAATAGGGGAAGAAATTGTTTTTCAGCTCAGATAAGCTACACTAAGACTAGAGCTTAGAAATCTACACCCAGGACCCTAGATACTAAGAAATTAAGATTGGAAAATACTTTTGAAGTATCAGCAAAAACTTATATTGTAGAAATGGACCAGCAGTTTTCAGTCTACAACTACAGCCACCCAAGGATACCAAAATTAAGTTGTCTATGTTTAACAGCAGTCATGTCCAATTTAATTTAATTTCTGAGGGTGAAATGAAACATGGCCAGTGGCTTTTGTCCATTAAATTAAAAACTGTTTTGTTAATATACAATTTGCAAATAATACTTTTAAATCTGAAAGAAACCACATTGTTGGCTAAACACCCCTTTTATTTTTTTTATTTTTATTTTTATTTTTATTTTTTTTCCTTTTTGTCTTTTTTCGTG